GGTATTCAGCTGGTAGATTCTTGCTTCATTACTTACGAAAGTTTGCTTGGGAAGCCAACTTACTGTATCGGAGTTAGTGGATTCCATATGTTGCAGTAGTCTGGGCGGCTAACGCGACCCAAGTCTGATTAAGCCCACAGCTCCCGTTGGGGCTTCGTAGCTCAGGTGGTTAAAGCGTTGGCTGTACAAAAGCCTGGCTCTTGCTGCCGCGAATTCGGAGTTGCCAAATTTTTGCGCAACTGGGTCAAATAAAAAAATCAGTTAACTTTAGTTTTCAAAGCTATTTTAGCATTAGCAGCACATAAAATACAGCAGAGTTTTCGTAGACGATAGGTGTTGCTTGGGAACTTAACTACTTGTCGATCACAAGACGATCCGATGTTCATTTCTCACTATTAAAATCACATACTGAAGTTGGGTCAATAAGAATATGAAAATCACATATCTTTACATTCCCAAAATTAATGGAACTTGCTATCATGGCACTAGAAGTAAGTAAACGGATTTAGTTGAAAGTAAACATGCATCGAGAGTTAGTTTTGCATTTTGCACTTGTAGAGAATGTTTTCAGTAAAATTTGGTATCAATTTTTCTAGGGGTTCATTTTCAGCTACGACTTCATTTCTATTGTTCAACAACGAATGAGTGAATACAGGCCTTTGGGCTCGCTGCCTATGGTTTGCTGGACAGTTAACTAGACCGTTTTTTCTGCAGAAAGTGCCCTATTCTGCAGGACCGTTTTACGTATTTAGTCTTCTGATAATCAATCATTTTTTATGCAGTTTTCATTTTCGCCATTCGGTTAAGACGACAATCCATAAATAAAAGAACAACTGTAAAAAGACGAGCCACTTTATTTATAGTCGCTCAGAGCACTTACAGTAGACGTGCTAACTCACGAGATGTTAACCGAGATTCTGAAGTGGGTTTTCGACTCGAAAATATTACTTTAGTCGGGTTGTAATATTAATCACCGTGCAGCAAAGTCCCATGATAACTCAGTTACTTCGGGGTGCCGACTTTTGGACGAACTTCTTTTCGGTCGTCTGCAAAAACTGAATTCTGTAAAAAATAACTACTTAGTTAGCATGAATTTTTCTCATTTATTTTCGATGCCCTTGTAACTTCAAATATATTCTAGAAGAAACACGCATAAATATTCATTTGGTATAAAATTACGCATTCATTAAATTTTGTACTTAAAGGAAAGGTTTAATTAGCCATTAAAAGGCTTTTCCAATCCTCAAAATCATACAGTTCTTTACGGTATTAAAAGGAGACCCTATGGAGTTCATTCAGTATAACAGGGGATTCCAGCCATATTGTAAACGGTCTTAAAAAATCTCCATAATAAGAAACGTTCTTAAAGCCCAATTTTGCTCTTCCTTCGAATATAAACTTCCAAGATGTGATTTTCTATCACATGAGTGAAAGAATGAATATTTTTATTCCCGTTTTCTATGAAATGTATTTGAATTTAGAGGAGCATCGACAATCAATAAGAAAAATTCACATGACTTAGGTAGGCACTTTTAAATAGTGTTGTGCTGTAAAGTAGTTTTTTCAAAAGCCGGCATCCAGAGCAACTGAAATTTCTTGGAGTCATGCTGCACGGCAATTAATATTAGAACCCTACTTAAGTAATCTTTTTGAGTTGAAAGCGCATTTCAGGACTTCTGTTAACATTTCATGAGTTAGTACATCTACTGTATTATTGTTTTCGGCATGAGTAGAATTAAGGAATACAAACTCTCACAAGGTATTATAATAATTCTTGACTCATTTCTGTCGCTAATGTAGTTGATAAAATCTTCTTTTGTGAGTGGAATGATGTTTACGATCCGGTGTGATTGGAAGGCGGATTTCGATCCACCCATTCTATGGTACTTTAAAAAAAAACTTGATGGGGTGTTCCGCTTAGGCAGACTCGAGGGATGATTTAACTGGCAACACTGTGATGCGTGCGGCAATTGCGGTCGTCAGATTTGTCGTTTGAGAGGGAATTCCATACGCCCTCTTATTGTGGCATTCGTCCAAACAGCTTCCGTCTGGTAAATCGGTGTAATTCTGTTTTCAGTTATGCCACTCCGGTAACAGGATAGCATGACTTCGGATCTACGAACTCGTCTGAAACAAGGGTCACTAGACATTTTGTGTGCAGGCCACGTTTGTGCATGGGTTTATTAGCTTTTGTCGTAGTGTGCAACCTTTGTTTGCTGTCCCATTCATTAGATCGCATTGATTCGCATTGAAAACGTCACTCCCCTTCACACGACTCTCTGTACAGCGCAGCGATTTGTGCAGTACAGTAGTCTGAATTTTCATCCTGCCTATTACCAGCGGACAGCAGACGATTTACTTAACGTCTCATAATTTTTTCTGGTCATATGGAATGAGCGGCCACTTAAAGTGAGAAATCAAAACTAGCTTGACGCATAACGTCAGCAGAATCACCATCGTGACTGCCGAAAGGTAGTGGGCATTCCTGTTTTGTCTTGGAGCTGATACAGTGAGTGACCGATCTCATGAAATGTTGGCTGAAATTCTGAAATGCGTTTTCGATTAGGAAGGTTGTAATACTGATTATCTTAAGGCATACTCTTATAACATTTTGGACTCGGCAGGATGCCGGCTTTTAAAAGCACTTCTTTTCAATCTCCTGTAGAAAGCGTGCTCGGTAAAAAAATGAATACTTAAGTAGCATACATTTTTCCCATTTATTTTCGATGGTCTTAGAAATTCGAATATATTTTATAGAAACCGTAAACAAAAATATGCTTTCTTTTATTCAATAAATAGAGAATCTCGTCTTCTTTGTATTTTATACTTAAGGAAGGAGTATAATTAGCTTTTAAAAAAGTTTCTAATTATGAGACTTTTTAAGACCGCGAAATGTCCATTCACATAGCATCGTACCTGGCCGTTTACCACTGCTCCTCATGCAATGTACAACATGGTCCGCATCCATTGCAAAATTTTATGAACTCTATATAATGTCTTTTTAATGGCATAGAAAAATATGTGATTTTCTTTACGCTGAACGCATGCACCTTGTAGAGTGAAATTATTAAGCGCTGATGCAACGAATGATCAGGCTCCAACTTATTCGGCAATTAGAAAACTTTTTTAAAACCTAATTATACTCCTTCCCTAAGTATAAAATATAAAGAAGATGTGATTCTCTATTGATTGCTATGTGAATGGACATTTCGCGGTCTTAAAAAGTCTCATAATTAGAAACTTTTTTAAAAGCTAATTATACTCCTTCCTTAAGTATAAAATACAAAGAAGACGAGATTCTCTATTTATTGAATAAAAGAAAGCAACCGCGGCCAAGTAATCATTCCTAATCGAAAACGCATTTCAGAATTTCAGCCAACATTTCATGAGATAGGTCACTCACTGTAGTCTACAGACTGCACATATTTATTTCCCACCGCTGAATGTTCCCTACTTCAGCCGGCTTCATGCAGGCCAGCAGCGCAATGCTGAGTAAATTGTTCACTGACCCCTGTGCTCAACGACATGGTGGCTGCGGGGACGGGGACTCGCGTAGTTTATAGTGATGGCGGACTTGTGTGGCATCTGCTGCACCCTACCCTCTCTCACCCACCTGGTTCCCGTGACAAAACACAGTCAGGACGATCGGAAGGGGTCAACGAATCGATCGCAATGGCCTTAAAAGCTAAACAGTCTATCTGCGCGTGCTACACGCGACCTTGTCCGCGCACGATGGGCCAGGTTTTTACACAAAAATGGAGTGGTTGACTCGGGTTTCAACTGAGTTGGAATACCATACAGACGACAGTTCGACCGTCAATTTCGACGATGTCCACCGTGTGCCCACAGCTGCAGCAGCGGTAGGAGCAGGGACGGTGACTTGCGCAGGGGTTTATAATGCCAGTAGACTTGCGCTGCATCTACCTACACTCTCTCCTCCTCCTCCTCCTCCTCCTCCTCCTCCGTCTGAGCCCGGTGTCAAGACAGAGTCAAGAAGACCGGAGACAAGGGAGACCGCAGGTGGATGGCTCGGATGGATCCTCGCCTTGGCGTTCCACCACACCCCCTGGTCCACACAACAAATAACCAGGATTTTCACCAACACAACAGAGATTTGGAGGCTGGCACGGCCGAAGCCGCACCTAGGCGGGCCGCCAACGCCTGGCTCGGATCCCACACTGTGATGGGAGTGCCATAAAGGCCACATTAAAAGGAGCCATTGCAGCCTGACTCTCAGACCGCATCCAGTCAAGGAAGAGGTCCAAGGCACCCCGTCAGTTGGCAACCTTCCAAGCCACGGCTTTTAGCGCACCGTGATAGCTTCAAGCGCGTCAGATTGTTTGTAGTGATGAGGAAAGTGCGCTGAGTCGTCGACCTCACTCTCCCTTCTCACTCCCACACCCCAGCCGCTGTCCGAGCCGGTCAGCAGACTTGAGTGGGGAATGGGCGCGGTGGCTGTCATGGTCGACTGACCATGACTGCGCGCGCCACGGCACGACCTGGCCCCCCATACACACACACACACACACACACACACACACACCAGGATTTCACACAACGGGGGTTGAACGGCGTGTCTCTCACTAGCGTGAGAGGGCCGCGGAAGGTACTGTTTCAGCCCATCCCAGCCCACCAGTCCGCCACTCCACACAACACACACACACACAGCGCGACGATCTGCGTGAACCGAGTGCGGGCGTCAATCAGCAACCTTCCTATCCACGACGCTTGACGTGTCGGGATAGTCTCGGACTCAAGTCATCCGTGCAGCCGAAGCCGCATGGGGACCGAGTGGAGATGCACACTTCCCACTTGCGTGGGAGGTGGCGGTTGGGTGCATGCGGGGGGTGAGTGTAGATGTGTGGTGGGGGTGATGGTGGTGGAGGAGGGTAGGGAGTGTGTGGACGTGTGGTGTAACTGGCGGTTGTCTACCGCAGGTCGTCGTCGATGCACATGTGACCGAATAGGCCCAGGCGATGCCTGAAAGTGCGAGGACAGTGTTGGCAGTTGAGTCGAGCGTGGTGGGTATAGGTTGGTGCCCCAGGCACTGGTTCTCCGGTCTCTGTGCGATGGATTCGCAAGTGACCGACCAGGCCGATGCGTGAGGTGAACGTGCGTGGACGGTGTGGACATGAGAGGTCGGGAGTGCCGGTGTCAGCTACAGAGGCGGTGGTGGTGGTGATGAGGATGAGCGCGCAGGGCGATGGAGCGAGGGTGGGGCTGGGCATGGTGGACGTGTTAAGTGTGGTGGGTGTGTCGGAGTTGGGGTCAATTCCGCTCTCGTGGCCGAATAGGCTTGTGGCCGAATAGGCCCATGCGGTTCCTGAAAGTGCGAGGACAATGTGTGCAGTTGAGTCGAGCTTTGAGGGTATAGACTGGTGCTCCAGGCACTGGTTCGCCAGTCTCTGTGCGATGGATTCGCAAGTGACCGACCAGGCCGATGTATGAGGTGAATGTGCAAGGATAGTGTGGACAGGTGAAGTCGGTGGCGTACGTGTCAGTTGCGGGGAGGGCGGTGGGGTCACAGAATGATGAAGCGGGCATGGGATTTAGCATAATGGATGTGTCGGTACTGCGGTCTATTCCGTTCTCGTGGATCCGCATGTGACCGAAAAGGCCCATGCGATGCGTGAATGTGCGCGGGCAGTGGAGACGAGTGCGGTGTGTGTAGGTTGGTGCTCCTGCAACTGGTTCGCCAGTCTCTGTGCGATGGATTTGCAAGTGACCGACCAGGCCGATGTGTGAGGTGAAGGTGCGGTCGCAGTGAGGGCAGGTGTAGTCTTGATCCTCATCGCTGGAGTCAGAGGAGGTGGGAGTGGTGTCGGTTGTTGTGTCAGGGTTGGTGATGTGCGAGATGCCCGCATGGGTGGCCGTCGTTGGGACAGTGGTTGAGGAGGAGGAGGAGGAGGAGGAGGAGGAGGAAAAGGAGGAGCAGGAGGATGGAAGTGACGGTTTAGAAGAATTACCAGAGGTAGTTGGCAGCAGAGAGGACATGGAAGAGGAGGGTGGAGGGGCGGCGGTTGGTGCGGTCCGAGAGGTACAGTTGATCCTTAGATGTCCAACAAGTCCGACTCGAGCCCGGAATGTCCGTTGACATCGAGGACACGTCGGAAGCGGTTGTGCTTCGGCGTTGCGGACTGGGCGCAGTTGTGATTTGCGGGCTTCGCGTTTCGCTTTGACGGCGGCGATGCGGTTGGCTTCGTAGATAGCAGCGCTCGTCTTCACAGTTCTCCTCCACGTCGGACGATCGCGGGCGAGCTCTTCCCAGTTGGTCGGGTTGATTTGAAGGCACTTCAGGGAGGACTTTAGAGTGTCCTTGTATCGACGAATTCGACCACCTTGGCGGCGAGAACCCGTCGCGACGTCTCCGTAGAAGAGTCTTTTTGGTAGTCGCTCGTCGTCCATGCGCACCAGGTGGCCACTCCAGCGCAGCTGCATCTGTCTCAGTATGGCGTAGATGCTGAGAATTCCCGTTCGTTCCAGTACTTCAGTGTCGGGGATTTGATCCTGCCAGTTCAGCTTCAGGATGCGACGAAGACAACTGAGGTGGAAGTGGTTCAGACGGCGTGCCTGCTTTGCGTACACCGTCCAAGTCTCCGCTCCATACAGTAGTGCCGGCAGGATGACGGCCTTGTACATCTTCAGCTTCGTGCTCAGTTGGAGACCGTGACGATTCCAAACGGTGCTTTGGAGGCGGCCGAAGGCTTGACTGGCTTTCGAGATCCTGCTGGCGACTTCGTCATCGATCTTGGTGTTGCGGGAGAGAGTACTGCCCAGTTACGAGAAGTTCTCCACCACTTGCAGTTGGGCCCCATTCACGCTGATTTGCGGCGCGTTGGTGGGAGTGGCTGTGTTGTTTGGCGGTCGATGCATCACCACCGTCTTCTGCGTGTTGATGACCAGACCGAAGTTCTCGAAGGCGGCGGAGAACAGGTCCATGCTGCGTTGCATCTCCTCTTCCGAGATGGTGTTCAGGGCGCAGTCGTCGGCGAAGAGGAGTTCGCGAACGCTGGTTGTGGATAACGCGATTGGAAGTGCATCCGTCGTTGATTCAGAAGGTGACCGTCCGTCCTGTAGGCGATGCGGATCCCGGGGTGCTCATCACGATAGGCGTCCATCAGCATGGCAGAGAACATAAGACTGGAGAGGGTAGGCGCCAGTACGCAGCCCTGCTTCACTCCGTTGGTCACTGCGAATGCCTCTGAGACAGTTTCGTTGTCCGTGACTCGCGCCATCGTACCGTCGTGCAGCTGACGCACCATCTGAGTGAATCCCTCCGGGCAGCCGAACTTCTGCATGATCTTCCACAGTCCTTCACGATTAACCGTGTCGAAGGCCTTTGTCAGGTCCACGAAGGTAGAGTACAGGTGGGTCCGCATCTCCTGACACTTCTCCTGAAGTTGACGGGCGGCGAAGATCATATCCGTGGACCCGCGATGGCGACGGAAGCCACATTGGCTTTCCGGCAGAAGGCCCTGTTCCAGATGGCTGTTAAGGCATATGAGGAGGATGCGAACGAAGACCGCCCCGACGATGTCCAGCAAGGAGATGCCACGGTGATTGTCGCAGACTTGGCGATTCCCTTTTCGCTTGTAGAGATGCACGGTGGCTGCGTCCTTGAAATCTTGTGGGACTTCACCTTGACGCCACATCTCCTGGAAGAGCGCAGTCAGGTGATCCATGAGTTGGGGACCTCCGTGCTTGTAGACCTCAGCAGGGATTGCGTCCGATCCGGGTGCTTTCCCTCTGGAGAGCTGCTTCACGGCCCTGATGGTTTCCTGGAGAGATGGCGGGAGGTCGAGGTCCACGTTTGTCTCCACCTGCGGTAAACGGACGATGGCGACGTCAGAGATAGGGAGAGACGGTTGAGAACGCTTCTAAAGTGCTCGGCCTATCGCTGTAGAATTTGTGTTTTCTCAGTCGGGAGGGTGCTGTCGTCAGTCCTGAGGAGAGAAGCGGAGCCTTTCGTCGGCGGACCGTATACAGCTTTGATCGCGGAGAAGAAGTTCTTTCACTCGTTGCGGTCTGCGTACCCCTGGATCTCCTCAGCTTTGCGAGCAGTCCAGGCGTCCCGCATCTCGCGCAGTCGTTGCTTAAAATGGCAGCAACGGCGGTAGAAAACAGCTATGCTGTCGTCGGTGGGGTGGTCTACGTAGGCTTTGTGTAGGCGGTTCTTCTCGGCGAGCAGATTGCTGATGACGGCGTCGTTGTCGTCGAACCAGTCCTGGTGTTGGCGGCGTGCGCGACCAAGAACGGCTAGCGTCGTCGACTGGACCGTGTCCCGCAGTTGACACTGGCGGATCTCCACGGAGGCGTTCTCGGCGGCGGCGGCGGCGGCGGCGTCGTCAGCGATTGGAAGGTTGTCTAGCCGTTGAGCTAGTTCATTGCCGAAATGAAGATGGTGAGCTGGCAACGACAACAAAGCAACATTCAGCTTACCTGGGGGTCGCTTACCTTGTGGTCTCCTGCGAGGCTGTAGGCGAATACACATCTCCGAGATGACGAGGCGATGGTCGGTCCACCCGTCAGCACCCGCGATCGCCTTCTTCACCACCACGTCCCGCTGATCTCGCCTCCGGACGAGGACATAGTCCAGCAGGTGCCCATGACGCGACAGAGGATTCCTCCAGGTGGCCTTATCTCTCTCCGGCAGACAGAAGAACGTATTTGTCAGGATGAGGCGGTGTTCTGCGCAGGTGCAGAGAAGCCGCAGTCCATTGCCGTTTGAGCCGCGGAGACCATGGGGACCCAGCACTCCTCTCCAGGCAGTATGGTCTGTGCCGACGCGGGCGTTGAAGTCACCAAGGACAATCAACTTGTTCGCCTTCGACACAGTCCTGAAGAGGGCGTGCAGGTTCTCGTAGAATTTGTCTCCTGCGGCGGCGTCGGGGCTGCTCATCGGCGGAGCGTAGGCGCTGATGATGGTGGCGAATTGGCCTCCCCAGAGAGGCAGACGGAGGCTCATCAGACGATCGTTGATGCCCTGCGGCAAACAGGGCAGTCGTCCCACGATGTCGTTCCGGATGGCGAAAGCGACACCCGCGTCTCGTGGCTCTGACATGGGGCGACCGCTCCAGAAGAAGGTGTAGCCGGCACCCCCCTCCTCCAGTTGGCCTTGTTCGGAGAATCGGGTCTCGCTGAGTGCGGCGATGTCCACCTTGTAGCGCGCCAGTTCTCGTGCCACCAGCGCCGTCCTCCGTTCCGGTCGGTTGCTCCTCGGATTGTCTAAAAGGGAACGAACATTCCAGGCTGCCAGAGTGAGCGGACTCACTCTGCCAGTCTGGCGACGAGTAGGGCGAAAACTAGGACTAGGGGAAGAAGGAGAATAGGCTCGACGAGGAAGAGAGGGATTTTTGTTGTTGTTTCGGTTTTGGCTGTTTTGACTGTGTGTGTTTTGTCTGCGGCCACGGCCAGCCTACGGGCAGCGTGGTTCCCAGAAATTTTTAGGGCAGCTTTTCTAGCCCCCTCCCCCTCGCGAGGGCAGGCAGCGCACCCCCTAAATAGGGCTGCCCGGTTATCCCAGACGGCTGCCCGACTCCATTATGGGCCACGACTTTTTTTAGTGAGAGAACGACCCGAGTTAGCCTGGGACCTTGGTGATGATGTGGTGGAGTTAAGTAGGAGAGAGAAAACACACCAATAATCTGCTATGGAACTTACAGCTAAAATGGACAGGCAGACACAATCATCAGTCAGAGACAGAAGTAGGAGGGCATCATTCAAAGTCAAGCACAGTAACACCTATCTGTTAGCAGAGAGTCATAGATTGACACGCAGACAAAAAGTCGCAGCAGGCATCAAGAGCGGCAGACAGCACAGGAATTAAGCAGACAAATAAGAATGCCAGTGCGACAAGTTTGGAGTGACATCATTCGTGATCAAGCACAGTTTTCAACTAGCTATTAACAGACAGAGGCACGGACTAACATATAGAGAGCAGGCAATAGGAGCAGCATACAACACGAAACTTAAACAGACGGAAGGAAGGAACAAAGGAAATTCACTTACCTGAAGAATCACTTACCTGGTGGCCTCCTGCGATGGTACAGGCAGAGCCTCGTCTCGACGATGTCGACGCGAAGATCCATCCGGCCGGCGGAGACCACAATACCGTGTGAACAGGTACGCGCACGGATACCCTCACCTGGTTTAGCCCGCCAGTCGAGGCGGTTGCCCAGGGTGTGGCCGCTGAGCAGAGCCCATCTACGTGGAGCCACAGGTGAGAGTTGGGTGCCAGCAAATGGACGCCAGGCGTAGTCTCACCTGCAAGCAAGTGAGCGACCACTACGACCATCACGTGAACCCACCGCTGACACCCCTACACCCCATACCGTAACATACAGACCACGTTAGAAAGGAACAACTGAGCCTGACTCTGAGGGAGAGAGAGAGAAAAAAGAGTATCATTTACAACATTCACTAAAGAGGGCTCCATGCACTGTAGTCAGAAGGTGGGTTAGCAGATTACAGTGATCGACCGATCTAATGAGATGTTGGCCAGAATTCTGAAATGCGATTTTAATTAGGAAGGATTACTTAGGTGGGGTTGTAATACTGATTATCTCGTGGGATAATCCTATAATATTTCGGACTCGACAGGATGTCGGCTTTTGAATATATTTCTTTTCAATCTCTTGTAGAGGACGTATCGGGTAAAAATGACTACTTGGGTAACATGCATTTTTCACACTGATTTTTTATGGTCCTATGAATTCAAATGTATTTTATAAAAAAGATGAGCAGAAATGTTTCTTCTTTAACTCGTTTAATGGATAATCAAGTCAAGCTCAAATTTTATACTCGAAAAACGGTATAACCAGGTTTTAAAAAGGTTTCATAGTTCCCGAATAATTTGGAGCCTGATCAGTCTTTGCATTAGCGCTTAGTGATTTCAGTCTACAAGGTACATGCGTTCCGCGTAAAAAATCATATCATATACATATCGTCTCAAAAAGATACAATATTGAGTCCGTAAAATGTTTGCAATCGATGCGGACTATATTGTACATTTTATGATGCTGTATGAATGGACATTGCATGGCCTCAACAAACCTCCTAATCAGAAAATGTTCTAGGACTTGATTATACTGTTTTTTCCGAGTACAAAATATGAGGTTGACGTGATTATTCATTAAATGGGTGAAAGAAAAATATTTCTGGTCATGTTTTTTGTAAAATATATTTGAATTCATAGGACCATAAAAAATCAGTGTGAAAAATGCATGTTACCCAAGTAGTCATTTTTGCCCGATAAGTTTTCTAAAGGAGATTGAGAAAAAATATATTCAAAAGCCGACATCCGGCCAAGTCCATAATATTAAAGGACTATGCCGCGAGATGGTCAGTATTACAACCCCACCTAAGTAATCCTTCCTAAGTAAGATTGCAGTTCAGAATTTTGGCCAACATCTCACTAGATCGGTCACCAACTGTAAGCAGGAGTCAAAAGGTTTACATAGAAAATGAACATCTACTACGGGGACAGTTTAAGCCTTACTTTCTGTATTTCTGTCTCTTTGAACGTAAGGTGTCGTGTCAGAAATGGCAATACGGAACGTTGATATGCTCCTGTACGACAAGAGATATGTCGGACGCTTAGGCGCATGGAGCGGGAGGACTTCTTAGCACTTAGATAAGAGTAAATAGGATGGGCAGCATCGTCCGGAATTAGATCAGTGAATTGCTTGACAGTTGTGAAATGTCGCTGTATTGAAATATCGATTAAAAACGTCATAAGAAAGGCCAGCAGCAGAGGGAACAGTCGGAGGACTCGTTTAAACAGTAACATATCTTTTTTAAGCAAAGCAGGAAAAAAGAACAGAACGGAAAAGAATAAGAGGGAGAATGTAACCACCTATTAATCTCCGGGTTAGTAGGATTAAGGTGTGTGATACGAACGTAAACGACGATTGTAAAAGAGGAAATTGCGAATTTTAGTGAAAAGGGTTGCAGTGCGAAGAGAGAATGAAAGATTTGATGTCAGGGTAACACCAAAGTACCGGAAGGAGTATGGTTTGCTGGGAAAAATGCTCAAAATCCAGGACAGGGAGAGGGTCACAGTTGGAAAAAGCACTAAACTGACTACTGATTATCCCTTAGGAGACCTTTTTCGAACGACCATGCTGAGACGTAGTCCAGAGCGATAACAATCATATCGTCTGCATACTTAACAGAAAGACAGTCATTTGGCGATCTCAAATCATTAGTGTGGATAGAGAGAAAGTGATTGGATGAGACGGAACCTTGAAGAACACCACAGTTATTGGGAAGGACAGTAGATTTCCACTTGCCGGACTAGACGAATTGCGTGCAGGAAGTGATCGGTAAACCAAGAGACAGTCCAGCCAGAAGAGTCACACGCGGATGTTTTGGTAGAAAGGAAATGGCGCGGGACCGTATTAAAGGCTGAAGGGTAATGAGGAAATTCACAAGCGTACGCACGGCAACCCTTATCTACATCTCTTAGACCAGAGGGGACCATAAGATCAACAGCATCCAGGACACTGCGCCTAGCCTTTTATGCAAATTATAAAGGGCCAGAAAAATTCCGAAAGAATGGCATGATAATGTCTAAGGCAACTCGTTTGGCAGGCTTTAGTAGTGAGGAAGAGCAGGCAATTGGATGAAAAGATTCAGGACCAAAATAAGTGAACTTTTTTGGGAAAGGAGGGATTGTTGCTGTACACCAGACATTAGAAAGATTGGACTCATGAAGGACATGTTTATAAGGTGTGTTAAAGCAGGAGCTGTCTGAGAACTGCATGATTTAAGGAGAAATAATGAGATAGCATACGGCCCGGCAACTGTTGGTCCCCGGACCCTTCTAAGGTGTTTCTCCGCTGATGCCGAGACACAGGCGAGAAGATGCATGGTAGTGGGGAAGTGTAGTTTGGGGGAAGACTGGAGTCCTTGGGAGTAGAGATAAAATCTTCACTTAAAGAATCCACATGTGCCAATGTGTTAGGCTGGACAGTGAGGCGCTTAAGATCCCTCCAAATTTCAGCAGAGAGAAGAAGAGAAGAAGAGGAAGGTGAAATATAGATAGGAAGAAGAAATCCTGTCAGATCTTACTATAACGGTATCAAGAGGACAGTATATATTAAAAATTTCATTTGAACGTATTGCAAGGTAGCCAGGGCACCAGCCGAAATTGGATTGTTTGAGGAAAGTGAGGATAACGCAAGATATACAAGTTTGAGGTAAGCAAATATTTTGTAGGATTGTGTCGTGAACCTTAGCCTTTCTCTCACGTTTGGTTAGCAGCGCGCGGTTAGAAGTTGAATCGATTTCTGGAAGACCTAGCAACACAGAATGATCTTAACCTGACAACGGAGCTCTGTTTTTAACAAGAGAATGCTTGGGGTAGTTGATCAGGAGGGATGTCAGCAAGTGTGTTGAAGTAACTAAGATCATTAAAGCCTTTCCGTCCCAAGTGAAGGACCGAGTTATTTTATCAGTTGGCAGCCTTCAAAGCCACGACTTTTAGCGCACCGTGGTAGACTCAGACCGCATCAGATGTTCTATAGTGAGGAATTCATTTATGTCCCGTGGATGAGGGATGGATTCCCCTGAGTCGGTCTCATTCTCTCTTCCCGCTACTTTGCATCAGTTCACGGTCCGAGAAGGTCAATCATTTGATATGGGGGGGTTGGGCGAAAATGGCTGACGCGTCGTGAGCCCGCGCTTTGGCGTGCCCCTACACCACAACCTGTGGCATTTGTTAGGGTATGCGCGAATCCTGCGCAGCCCGATTAGCGCGTGCCGTGATTCTGTCTCGCTCCCGTCTTGATTCAGCGCGTCTTGCGCTTGGCCCGCTTTAGAGACACTTCACTGACCCACTGCATCAACATCTTGAGTGCACCAGCCTCCGGGATTGAAGTATCACCTTTGTCATTTGTACTTTTGGCAGTCATTTTTGTGTAATGATAGTTTTTTAACCACGGGTTCGTGGCCCAGTGGTAAGAGGCGTGGACTTCTAACTAACAGGTCTCGAGTCCGAGCCTCGGGAGTTCCACGCTTCGGGGTTGGGCATGACTGGCTGACGATGACTAATAAGCCAGAAATGCCCATTCCAGTCTCCCTTGTCTTTGTCGATAATGACATACTGGCGATAGTTTTTCTTTCAATTCAAAACGATGCAAGTGTTTTTGTACATCTCAAGAGTTTCTGCAGGAATATTTAAATTATTGACACCGGCGACTTCTCCTTCATCTTTCAGAACAGAATAGCCTACGGCGGACTGAAGAGATGACGCTAAGATGTCAAGATCTCTTTCGTTGTTCAAACTGCAACATCTGTGGAATAAGCTAGGCTATAAAACAGCACCAAGGCTATTTGATCGGCGTTTTCATTTCTACTTCAGCTGTTTGTCGTCTTTAAGGATTAGTCAGGTGGTTTGCCGGAAAAAAACACTCGAACTTGCAAACTTACCTCTGAGGGTAGAAAACAAGAGCTTACGTAGAACAGACTGGTAGCGTCTGTCGGCTTGGCACTCCAGCTTAGCGAAGTCAATCACGGTTGCGATAGAATGAGCACAAGCTAAATAGTCCTGGGTTTCTAACTGTCGTCGGTTCGCTCTAATACCATCTCGGAAGTGATGTTTGCGACTTCAAAACTCTGGAGTCTCTCAGATGCAAACATAAGTTCAGGGCTCTAGACACTGACCTTAGTCTCTTCAGCTGCATATGACGTATTCACATCACAAGGCAGTGTAAATGATTTAGAACCTAATGAAAGGGTATCATTCGCAGATGCACGACCAGTAAAAACTAGCAGTAAAAATTGCAATAAACTCTAAAATGTGTGCAAACACATTTTACTCGAAATGGAATAACAATTTACCAGAATGCCAATGGCCCGACAAGCTGCCGCCGTCTTTTGCCTTCTCACACATTCGACTATCTAACCGGAGTTAAATTTCAAATCTAGATAGTGGACAGCGCATGATATCGAAATCACAAATATTCTCCTTTTGCTACATCGAAAAATGACACTTTTGTGGATGATAATGGCTTTGTGTGAGCAATTTGTTTTTGAACAATAAGTTGGTACAAATTTTACAGTAGGCTCCCTAGTAGAAAACTTGCAG